GAGCGAGAGAGAGAGAGAGAGAGAGAGAGAGAGAGAGAGAGAGAGTGTGTGTGTGTGTGTGTGTGTGTGTGTGTGTCCTGGAATGTGAACTCAGGACCTTGGGCGCTGTCCCTGAACATTTCTGCTCAAGGCTAGCATTCTACCACTTGAACCACAGCTCCATTTCTGGCTTTTTAGTGGTTAACTGGAGATAAGAGCCTCATGGACCTTACTGCTTTGGCTGGCTTTGGACCTCCATCCTCAGATCTTAGCCTCCTAAATAGAATTACAGGCATGAGCCACCAATGCCCATCAGAAGTATGATTTTTAATCAAGTGGGACACTTGGCCAGGGCAATACCAACTTTAAGAAACTACCACCACGGGCTCAGTGACCAAAGGAACATGGCAATGTGACATCAGATCAGGGTACTTACCAGCTTACGGACATCTTCACACCACACTTCTCCTTTCATAGGCTGCTCTGCATACAAGGAAATGCCCAACAATTTGTTAAACAAAATGTTAAGGCCCTCCATGCATGCTCCCAGAGAGAAAAATGGGCAATACAAACTGGGTTCAATATTGTACCTATGAGAAGGACAGAGATCAATAGCATTATTTCAGTGGCAAAGGCAAAATCAGTTAACTTTGCATTTAATTTAGGATTAGAGTGGCTAAAAAGCAGGGATGTGAAGCCAGGTGTCAGGGGCACATGCCTATAATCCAAACTACTCAAGAGGCTGAGAAGTAAGGATCGTGGTTTGAAGCCAGCCCAGGCAGGAAAGTCCATGAGACTCTTATCTCCAATTAAGACAATTATCTCCAAGAAGCTGGAAGTGCAGCTAAGGCTCATGTGGCAAAATGCCAACCTTGAGCAAAAAATTCAAGAAAGAGAGTGAGGCCCTGAACACGCACTAAAAGAAAAAAAGGATATAAAACATAAAGGCCCATAGTTGGCTGTCCACATCCAAAAATTAAACAATCTGGACGGAGAGTATTCTGAAAAAGGATCATGTCTGAACTGAGCACGTGCATTTCCCAAGCAATGCAAGGTCAACACAATGCATCACATGGAACTGTGTGTTATAAGCAGACATGATTTAGAGCCTTTGGGAAGGTGCACATATGGGTTCTTTGCAAATGCTCCACCACTCCACATGAGGGACTCAAGCATTCCGGATTTGGGGGTCCACACAGGATCTATAGCCAGTCTCCAGAAGACATTGAGAGAGGACTGTGAGCCTCTTGTTTGAGGAATGGTCACACTCCATTTTCTCTAGAAAGACTATGGAACTGCTGTTGCCACTAAAAGCAATACAGTACAGCAGTTCAGCTGGATGCAGCCGTCATTCAGGAGCCCTTCCCCACTTGAGGTTTACTCTCAAGTTAATCTCACCAGGCCTTCTGTGTACATTACCAGCACAAGATACACCTTTTACACAGACTTACATGAGAATGTGAACAGTTCCAGTTATAATAGTAAATTTTACTTTATGAAATGTGTTATATTCTTTTAAAAAAGGGCGAATTACACATAAATGTTAAAGTAGAATTCTGAGGCAAGCTAAGTAAATTTAAAGTTATTTTCTTTTAATTTATTTTATTGTAAAGATGCTGTATAGAGGGGTTAGTTACATGAGTAAGGCATGAGTAAGGTAATGAGAACATTTCTTGTGGAGCAGTTACCCCCTCCTTTGTTGTTCTCCCACTATCCTTTCCCTCCCCCACCTCCCTCACTCCTCCCCTACCCCAAGTTGTAAAGTTCTTAGCTGATGAAATGTTTACTGAAAAAAATTACTAGAATATAAGTAATCAGATTTTTGTTGCTGTTGTTGTTGGCTGTGGAATTTGAACTCAGGGCACTATCCCTGAGCCTCTTTGTGCTCAAGGCTAGCAATCTACCACTTGGGGCACACAGCCACTTCCAGGTTTTGAGTGGTTAACTGGAGATAAGAGTCTCATGGAGACTTTTCTGCCCAGACTGGCTTCAAACCACAAGCCTTACATCTCAGCCTTCTGAGTAGCTAGGACTACAAGCATGAGCCACCAGCACCAGGCACAATCAGGTTTTTTTTTTTTTTTTTTTGGTGCTGGTACTGGGGCTTATCTCAAGGCCTCAAGCTCTTGCTTGGGTTTTTTGCTCAAAGCTAATATTTAACCACTTAAGCAATACCTCCATTTCTGGCTTTTTGATGGTCAACTGGAAATAAGAGTCTCATAAACTTTTCTGCCCAGGCTGGCTTTGAATTATGATCTTCAGAGCTCAGCTTCTTTTTATTTATTTATTTTGTTGGTTGTGGGACTTGAACTCTGGGCTTGGGTGCTGTCCCTCAGCTCTTCAGCTCAAAACTAGCGCTCTACCACTTAAACCACAGTACCATTTCCCATTTTCTGTTGGTTAACTGGAGATAAGAGTCTCACAAACTTTCTTGCCCGGGCTGGCTTTGAACCACAATCCTCAGATCTTAGTCTCCTACGTAGCTAAGATTACAGGCGAGGGCCACAGGCGCCCAGCGAGATCTTCAGCTTCTTGAATAGCTAGGATCACAAGTCTGAGCCACTGGGGCCCAACTAACAATCAGCTTTTAATGTATACGTTTCACAGCTATGTATCTTCAAATTGAGGATAACCAGTTATAGACTGATAATCTTAATTATCCTTCATCTAAAAGTAACTCTTTCGTGCCTTATGCATTCTGATATAAATCAAAATAGATTTAAAATTTGTAATTCATATATTCATATCTGAGTCATTAAATCAGGCCAAAATTTATAACCAGAGCCAAAAGTAACAGCTCTAGAAAAATTGTAGGTACTCTACTTTGCTACTTATATACAAAACATAGAATAACTAAACATATTGTTATTGCTCTACATAACAAAAACTGCATTCTATTACTAGGTGAGTGACTGATTTTGCATGTAAATAGAAATTTCACATCAATTTGGGATGGGTAACAGAAGCTCACAGATGCAGCCTAGCTCTGATCCATTATCTTCCTAGAGCTGACAGCGCTGCTCACTGCTCCATCCCAGCAAGCTACATGGGTAGAAAGGGAGGACAGGCTTGATCTCAGCACAGCTCCTGTGAAGGATGCAGGAGAATCTGAAGCAGCCAACTCGCTCACAGACAGTGCTGGGGCATGCAGGGAGGAGGGACCTGGCAGGGCATCATAGACGGTTGTGTTGAGAGGGAAGAAAGAAGTTACCATAAGAGAATGATGGAGTTATATACTGGTGCTCATGCTTGTAATCCTAGCTACTAAAATGCTGAGACCTGAGGATCAAAGTTCAAAGCCAGCCAGGGCAGAAAAGACGTGAGATTCTTGTCTCTAATTAACGAGCAAAAATCCAGAAGTAGAGATATGGCTAAGTGAAAGAGCACCAGTCTTGAATGAAAAAGCCAAGCAAGAGTGCACAGGTGCTAAGTTCAAGCCAAGTATCTGTACATACACACACACACAGAATATTACTTTACCAAACCTGACTGAACCAGGGGAATGGGGAATGGAAATACTCAGAGCAAGCATCCTCCAGCCTTCCCAGATCTCCACAAGGAGGAGGGAGGGACTAAGAAATGCTTATAAAGGCCGCAGTCCCAGGGTAGAGGCCACTAACAGACTGAGACCTGACCACTGTACTCAGAACATACATTTGCTTCCCCCACACCTAACCAAATTCTGAACAGCCACACAACCTAGGGAAAACAACTCAAACAGCCATAACCATAGCCATTAGGTCTAGCTAAGGACTCTCTCGGGAATTTAAAGCAACAAGGAGAAAAAACAAGGACACCAGAGGACAGTAGAGCCTCCAAAAGCACAGATATTGCAAAGAATGAACACATCTTCACCTCTAATCAGAAAAATACAAACTTCAAACTGAAGGTCCCTCTTGCCTAGTATACCAGGCATAATGGTACACACCTGTAATCCCAACACTCAGGAAGCAGTGTCAGGAGGACCATAGTTGAGGCCAACCTGAACTATACAGTGAGATGCTGACTCAAAAAAATTTCAAGATACACTGCTATGGCTTGAATGTGCACAGTGTCCGCAAGGTCCCAGTGGTAAAGACTTGGTTGCACTATGGCACTACTGGAAGTGTATGGTCTAGCCACCTGAGCAAATGACATTATGGCACAGTTAATATTACTCTTCTTCCTTCCTTCCTCCATTCATTCATTCATTCATTCATTCATTCATTTAGTGGCTGTCCTGGGACTTGAGCTCAGAGCTTGAACGGTGTCTATAAGCACTTTTGTTCAAGGCTAGCACTCTACCACTTTGAGCCACAGCTCGAATTCCAGCTCTTTTGGTGGTGGTTAACTGGAGATAAGAGTCCCACAGATTTTCCTGCTGGCTTCAAAACAAAATCCTCAGCCTCCTGATTAGATAGGATTACAGGTGTGAGCCACCAGCACCTGGCTTTCCTCCTCTTTCTTCCAGCTAGTTCCTAAAAGACTTACCTCTCTGCACGAATCACACCACTGTAGTAGGGTGGGTCCCAAGGCATTAACTCCTACAATGGAATAATTGACTATTAAAAAGTTATTGACTTACATATTTTTATCAGTAAAATAAACAGCCAGCTTATAAAATGGAAACTAGTTATTGTAAATCAACCAAGAGTGTGCCAGTACTGGGGCTTGAACCCAGAGCTTTTTGCTCTCACTTAGCTTTTCCAATCAAGGAAGACACTGTACTAGTTGGGTTATACTTCCACTTCTGCCATTTTGCTAGTTAATTAGATAAGAGTCTCTCAGATTTGTTCATTAGGCCTGGCTTCAAACCATGATCCTTAGATCTCAGTCTCCCAAGTAGCTAGAATTACAGGCATGAGCCACGGCACCCAGCTTCAACAAATTTATAGAATGAAAACTGAATAAAAATCAGAGTAATTTTACAAAACAAAAACCTTAGGATTTCATAGCTGACAGAACATGATTTTTCTGTAATGAAGGGGTAGGGTTGTATAAGTAAGGCATAATTCAAGATTTGGGGAAAACAACAAATGTCTTTCTACATGTCTTTCACTACAACTGTAGTGAATTAGCCATGATGAAATTTTTGTGTATGAAATATAACCTATATATTATAATAATGACTAAGATACATAAGGTAAGATAAGAGTTCTTTCTAACCTAAGCAAGAAGCCTAAAGTATATCCCTAAAATGAAAGCATTAATTCAAATTGTAATTAAAGTAGAATTAACTTGAATCTTGGCAATGAAAATATATTATAAAGAAATAGCATCAGGGAGCTGGGCATGGTGGTGCACACCTATAATCCCAGCTATGCAAAAAGCAGGAACAGGAGAATCACAGTCCAAAAGACCATACCCCTACAAAAGCAAGACTCTACCTGGAAAATGAGGTAAAGTTAAAGGTCTGGGAACATGGCTCAAATGGTATAGAAGTTGCCTAGTAAGTATAAGTACAAGTTCTTGAGCTTAAGCCTATACCACTAAAAAGAAGTGTTAAAATTGTTTGGACTATTACAGAATGCTGAAAGAAATGAAATGAAAGAAATGAAAGGTGGCACCAGGGGTCCAAGTGACAAAGGACTGGCTAAGGGCCTAGGCGGTGTGATTTCCACGCAAACTGTACAAGCTACACGAGGATAGGGACCTTGCTGACATCAGTGTTCACCATATCCTGGCATACACAGCTCTGGTATAATGCAGTCATTCATGACTCTGTATACCTCCCAAACAGGACTGCTGAAGGTGCTGGACTACTAGGCACAACCTCTGGCCCACGGTAAGAGCTCAGGAAATCTCACCATTGTTAGTCTTCAAGATGGCAGCGCAGCATCACCCCTCGAGTAACCAAGTGCTCTTTGCCATGCCCTGTGATCATACAGCTATCGTGAGATGTGTGGCAATGAAAAACACACATGGACTCACATCCTTTCTCCACAACCCTGGACCGTCTGCTGATGCCAGACAGAGAGCAGGATCCCAGGACCGCAACACAGGGCTTCAGGAGAAACACTGCCCTCTGACAGCGTCACATCTGGGCTATGCTAAGCAAAACATGCCTCCAGGGAAGAGTGCTTTGTAAACTAGAGAAAAGACACACAAAATTGTATCCAAGCCTAACACAAGGGAGTAAGAAGCACCCAGAGGGGCATTTAAATCACAATAGAGGAAGAAAAACCTACATGAAATTGTTTTTTTTGGGGGGGGTTGTGCCATCCCTGGGGCTTGAACTCAGGGCCTAGGCACTGTCCCCAAGCTTTTTAGCTCAAGGATAGCACTCTACCATTTGAGCCACAGCTCTACTTCTGGCTTTTCGCCGGTTAATTGGAGATAAGAGTTTATAAGCTTTCCTGCCTGGGCTGGCTTTGAACAGTGATCCTCAGATCTGTGTCCTTAGTAGGTAGGATTATAGGCGTGAGCCACTGTACCTAAAGGAAGTTTTGACAGAGAAAGCAGTTGAGCTCATGAGAGAGGAGACCTCACCTGGATACAGTATTTCTGAAGGGGTGAAGGCTACCTAATATACAATGTTTATGTGGCTGGTGTATAAATACTAGTTACAAGTGAAGAATAAAAAAAACAAAGGAAAGTGAGAAAAGGACAGGATGCTACAGGGACAGGAGTAAAAAGCAAGGAATACTGATCATTCGTTCATTTGTGCATTTATTCACTCCTAGTTCAAGTAAGCATGGAGTACCTATTCTATGCCTAACATGAGGCTGGGAATATTACTAAGAAGTGTAAGTCCAGGATGGTTATGAGGGCAGCAAGAAGGCAAGGCTAAAAAACCAGTGAGGTCTTTAGCTACTCTACTCATTGAGAGACAGGAGGATGGCAGTTTAAGGCCAGATCAGGCCAAAAATAGTGAGACTCATCTCAATAAGCTATGTGTCTTGGCAAACACCTGTAATTAATCCCAGCTTCTTAGGAGACACAGGTATGAGAATCACTGTTTAAGTCTGGTCTAGGCAAAAACATTAAGATCCTATGCAAAAAAATAACATAAAAAAGGCTGGAGACATGCTTTCAGTGAAGAGTGCTCACATAGTAGGCATAATAAGGTCCAGAGTTCAAATCCCAGTACCACCAAAAATAAAGCCATTTCAATTTTTTTTGGGGGGGTCCGGTCATGGGGCCTGAACTCTGGGCCCCGGCGCTGTCCCTCAGCTCTTCAGCTCAAGGCTAGCGCTCTACCACTTGAGCCACAGCACCACTTCCGGCTTTTTTCTTTTTGCTTATGTGGTGCT